AGATTTACGGATGGAGGTTACACAGCCTGAATGCAAAATTAAAAAAAAAAAAATCACTGAGCACTGTTTTTCCCTATTGCTGAAACTGCAAGGGAATTTTCTGGCCTGATTGCAACAGATTTAAGACCTTATCAAAATAGGATTTGCAGAGGCACTCACTGGAAGTAGATATGTTTATACCTTCACTATATCAACCCAGACAACTTCAGACAGACACTTAGGATATGAATATGAATTTAAGCACAGTTAAAAGGCAACATTAAACCTTTGGGACTATATTTTTAATTTCTTGCATGTCTGCTTCTTAGTATGGAGTCATATATTTTGATCCTCATAGCTTCTGAACTCACCTTGAGCCTTAAGCCCCTGTTTTAGCAGTTTATTCAATCTTTTCAGGATATAATTACGATAGATATTGAGATGCAGCCAGAACTAGCCCAGTGACCAATGGTTGCCCACAGCCACTGCTGAGTTACACACACGCACACACACACGCGTGCACAGGCGTGTTCCTGGCCACACAGCCTCTCCTTGCATCTGCTGTCTGTAATCCTTTCTAGCATTTTATACGTATCCTCCTGCCCTCACATGAAGGGATTCTGCTTCTTGAACTTGGCATGTCTAAGTCAGAACGGAAACAGAAAGTGACTGACTCTTCTTAGCGTCTGCCATGCAGAGGGTGCACAGCAGGGCCTCCACCTGCACTTTGCTGAGGCTGAATGAGGCTTCAGCCAACCTGCACAGGTGAGCGGGGTGCTGGGGAAGACACTGCTTAGCACAGGGTCCCACAAGGCAGGCAAAGGGGGGTTCCCGGAACTCCCGAGGGCGAGAAGGACATCCCGAGATGGACTCATGGCTCAAGCCGAGGTCAGTGCATGCAACCTTGGGTGGGGGGACACTCAGAGGACTCCAGGGAGCAGAGCCTGGAGGACCCCAGAGCCCGGTCAGGGGAGCATGACAATACGCCCTTTTCCAGCTGTCTAGAAGGAGGCGGACAGGGAGCTCCACCTCAGGGAAAGTGATGGGGATTTCCAAAGACTCAGAGCAAGGAAAAGGTGAGCACTGTCTACTTGGCCAGCAGCTCAGCTCTCCTGCTCTGTACTTGGGACTATCTATACCTGGACTCCTTACAGTGGTCTCAGAGTTGGGGATGGAGGCCCTGGCACAGAGAAGAGGGCAAAAAAGTGGTCCAAAACTGAAAAAAATTACTAAAGGCTAATAGGAATGAAAACTCAATACAGCCAGGCTGGGACCCAACCTATCAGCCCTCAGTGAGGAGGTACAAAGACTCCGCACACTATTTCAGATGGGCTGTCCGGCCATGTCCTCCCTGCTGCCCTCAGTCTCTCCATACCAGAGACAGATGTCCCCAGAAGCCCGGGTTCTGGGTAGTTTCTGCCTCCACCCTGCCATCTGAACAACTGGCAATCAGCTGCCGTTTTGTCGGCCTGCTCAGCCACCTGCAAAGGCCAAGCACCTCGCAGACGCCACACGCAGGGGACAAGGCACTCGGTGATACCTCAAGTTACAGATGATGAACATCATCATTAAAAGAGCATAAAACATTCCCTTAAAGTGACTGCGCTGCAGGTCGTGGAATAGCACAATTAGCACACACCCAGGCTCGTCTGTAACTCAGAGCTGATGGGCAAGCTGATCCCAGGGGGGTGGCATTTGGAAATGAGGTGTTGGGTAGGGATTAGCAGTCCTGAGGGTGGAGCCCTCAAGACAGAATCACTACCTTAATGAGAAGAGACCCCAGAGGCCCCCTGCATCCAGCACGTGAGGACACAGGAGGAGAGGGCGGCCCTCTGCAAAGCAGGACCCGGACCGCCCTGGCCCCTGAATCTCAGCCTTCACACCTCCAGAACTGGGAGAAAATAAACGTCTACTGTTTAAGACGCCTGTTCTAAGGTATTTTGTTATGGCAACCTGAGCAGACTGATCTAGAAAGCAAGGACTCTTATTTTAGACTTAGAAGCAGTTCAGGAAGGAAGTTTTTAAGTTAGATTCCGAAACATCCTGGCTCCTAAAACAAGGATTTAATTTTTTAAAAAAGTGGTTGAAAGGATTCTGAAGAAAAAAAAAATATGGGAAAAATTCTAGAGGAAAAAAAAAACTCAAAAGGTTTCTGCTCCCTGGTGTCTGCAAGACGCCTAGAAGTTCATGTGGCTTCCCAAACATCCAGAAACAGAGAGGCTGCTGAAGCTTCTTCAGTGACCCCTGGTCTCAGTTAGTTACTTAAACTTCTCAGAAACCCAAAGCATAATACTCTGATCACAAATTCAATCCCTAGAAAATGCCAATCCCTGGATGCCTCAGATGTGCTGGGCAGCCCAGTCACCACGTGAGTGTCCCTATCCCGCAGGCCAGGATGAGATGGTTTCTTCACCCTCCACCCCACCCTCCCAGGCACCAGAATACTGTTTCCTCTGATTCCTGCCAGAAATTCAAAGGCTCAATGAACATACGTTGCTCAGAAGTGGAGTATAAAATTCAGTGCCTTTTCCCAGAGCTTATGAAGATGACTCCCCAGCTAACTTCTATTACCTCTGTTTGTACGCAACAGTTGGGAAATACCATGACCTTTAAAAAGCAAAAAGGAACAAGTCCAACTAGAGATCATTTTTAACCATGATGACAGTGTTAGCGGGAGTGCACAGCAGAAAAGGTCCCGAGGGCAGGGACGAACCCTCCTCTCATCCCCCCTGGACAGCAACCTTCCTTCTTACCCTCAAGAACTGCCAACCAATTCTCAGTGACCTAGTGGTGCTTGGGAATAAGAAAAGTCCCCTGCAGTATTTTCTAGGCAGGTCTGAAATTGTATTCCCACCTATATTTCAGGTAAGGAAATTGGGGTTACCATGTAAATTGTACAAGCCACACTGAGATGTGAAATTAATTGATACAAATCCAAAATATCAGATTTTGTTCCTGGGTGTGCAACATGGCTGATAACTGCCTGCCCTCCTGGGGCGGGGGGAATGTTCCAGTAAGCAACGTGACAGATTCCAGCTTTCATCTCATAGCTGCTATATTCGAGGAACTCAAAGTCATATTTAAATGTCTTTTTGCCTTTACTGTTTCTTATTCCTATACATAACCTTTCCTGCTGACAATTCAAATATCGGGGAAGTCAAGTTCACAATGATGAGTGCCTTTTTCAGAATCTTTAGGGACCCCTGTGAACTCTTAAGAGAAATGGACAACTTAGGTCTAGAAAATTCTGGGACAAATGAACACAATTTCTTCTTATAAAGAAGCCAAATTATCTAAAGAGGGAGAGAGCTCAGAGCAAACAGTTCTCAAATCTCTACAGAGACACACTCCATTCTTGCTTTTGAGCTTGAGTCCCAGGACTTCACAGGGAAGTGACATGACAGAGAACCTAGGACGCTACAAGGAATCCTTTGCTTTGCTATAAATTTTTACATTGGCAAGTATACAATTTACAAAGCAATTAGTAGATACTGAGCCCAGATTTATACACACAACTTCCTGCACAAAGTAAATTCTTCCTGCTGGGTTATGAATCCCAGGGCAGACCTGAGCTTCAGTCTTATTGTACAACACTGACAGGTCCTGTGTTTGTCATTATAGCCTCAAATCACTCAAGAGATAAATGAAGGTCTTGGCTGCTTTGCAAAATTTTGACAAGAGTAATAATAGTAAAACACCGATGGCGTGTCTGCGTGCCTGCCAGATTTAACAGAAACACAAGCACAATAGGACCAGGAAGTTTTCTCAGTTAAGCCCTGGAGTAACAGAAAAGATAAATATAATTCCTCACATTCGTGTGCTCAAGGGCAACACTGGCAACTGATGTAGGAAGGAAATTTCCTGGTGGTTTTAATAAAGCTAAGACTCGAATCTTTATTCCAAACATACCTAGAAAACCAACCACAACAAAGATAGTCATTTCTAGGTGGGGAAGTATTTCTTCCTTGGCATCTTTGATTTCACAAGCATCCAGCATTTTCATTCTGGGGCTACCCACTAAAAAGTTGGTAAAGAGAGGCTGGTGGGGATGGGCACAGACCTGGGAATCCAAATCACATCACTGGCCCTGAAGCTGGGAGTCTGGGATGGGTAGCTTAACCCCAGGCTTAGTTTTCTGTGCTGTGAAGTGAAATTCACACCAAATATGCAGGACTTTTTTCAAATCAAAATAAATAACATACCAGATGTAAAGTTGCCTGGCACAAAGTAAACATTCAAGAAGGGTTATTTTGTAAATACTGGGATTTTTGCCTGGTTAGGTATGTCAGAAAGTGTGATGCCCTGCCCTGCCCAGTGGAGCCTGTGCTGCAGAGTCACTTGACAGTGTCCTTGAAGCCAACAAAAAACCTGTGATGTAGCAGGGAATGAAAGCATGACAATCTTCTCAGTGCTACTTCTTAATCAAAAGAGATTGTGGTTTTGGATATTCCTATGGATAGATAAACAGACAGATGGATAAATATGGATGGATGGGTAGAAAGAATGGTTAAATGGATGGACCAGATGGATGGGATGGATGAATAGATGGAAAAGTGGATGGATGGATGGAAGGGTTGGTGGACAGATGAGTGGGTGGGCGGATGGATGGATGAAAGGATGGAAGGATGGAAAAGTGGATGGATGGATGGATGGATGGATGGATGGATGGATGGATGGATAGGCAGACAGATGGATGGAAGGGTTGGTGGATAGATGGCTGGATAGATGGAAGGATAGATGGATGGAAGGAAGGAAGGAAGGAAAAGTGGATGGACAGATGGAAGGGTTGGTGGATAGATGAGTGGATAGGTGGATGGATGGATGAAAGGATAGATGGATGGAAAAGTGGAAGGAAGGAAGGAAAAGTGGATGGATGGAAGGATAGATGGATGAAAGGAAGGAAGGAAGGAAGGAAAAGTGGATGGACGGATGGATGGATAGATGGACAGATGGAAGGATAGATGGATGAAAGGAAGGAAGGAAAAGTGGATGGATGGATGGAAGGGTTGGTGGACAGATGAGTGCGTGGGTGGATGGACAGATGTATGGGCAAACTGACAGGTAGATAACTTCCTGGAGGAACAAAGAGTTTGGAGCTTACTCGCAGGACTATCAAAATCCCTGAAGAAAAAAGTGGAGACTGTGTCCCGCCTCTCAATGTATATCTTTCCTGTTTGAACCAGTGATTCCAATGGAACTAACTTGCCTAAGGCCGCCAACATTACTTTCTCTTTCAAGAAACCACTGAATGAGGTCTTCAGTTTTATTCCTTGTACAAAGTACTGTGAAGTTAAAGTGCATGATATTCATACACCCAGATGTAAAAGACACCACAGAGTCAATACATTTCACAGAGATGTATCTCAGAAAACAACGCATCTTCTTCTAAACTACCATCTGGCAGCAGAAGCTTCAGCCCTTACCTGGAGGTGGGTCCATTCTGTACTTATTCTCTTGACACCAACCAACTGGTCGAAGTCTGTAATCCAAGTAAAACAACCACTGGTCATAGGATTCAGTGTCCTCCAATCCCACATAGCGAAGGCGTAATCTTCCTCCAACATTTTCAATCACACTAACTATCCAGTACTGAAAAGGGCTCTGAGAATCCTGAAGTTCTATTAAGGAATCAACTGTAATGAGGTCTATAGGGTCTTTCCCTCGTAGAGGCTGTTTGAACAGAAGCAAAACTCCTTATTTTAAACTTTCTTTTAAGGTTCTCGTGGAAACAGATGACAGCAGAAGATAAACTTTTTCACACCATCATCCAAGCTATTGGCAAACAGTCTGGCGTCCCCTCCACCCCCGGCCTGGGCACAGCCAGCATCCCGCCCCTCCCCGCCTCCCGCTCACACATCCGTGTGCCCAATTCCCAAACCCCAAACCCAAACCACAAGTAAACAGAAAATGACCCTTTATGCTGAATTCTCACCAAACAAATCACCCTTCCCAGATAAAATTGCATTTGTTCGAAACTAGTTTGCTTTTAAGAACAGTCATACCCAAATTTGCCCGGAGCTAGAAAAAGGGTGTGATAGCAAAATGTCTACTTCCCCAGTAAACAGATACGTGCATATCTGTAACACAGGATTAGAGATTTACACCATGATTCTTTGATATCCGTCCCACCAGGGCCACTACTCTAATAGCCAAGACCCTGTCCTGCTTTCAGGACTCCCGCCAAGCTTGTGTGTTTGTAGAGAGGACACATGTGGCGGGCATTAAAGATCAGCTAAAGGGACTATTACGTAGTTATTTCTACACCTAACCCGATAACTGGTTTAGAGAATATGATTACTGCCACTTCTTAGCATATGCTAGCATGTGAAAAGGGTGTTTGTTCAGCCAGCCTTATAGGCAAATGGTTTTAAAAAATTAGCACAGTGAGACAATTGTCCCTTTAAAAGGGGGAGCCATCATCACTTTGCTTTGTTAACCAAACAATCAAAATAGATACTATTAAGATATACATTAGGCTAAATCTTTACAAAACAAAACCTGTTAACTGTATTAGACAGAGTATCAGCGCCACTTATTAAAGGAGGGAAAGTTAAGGTTAAGAGAATACTCTGCTGTCAAAATCCACACTGTAGTCCTGGTTATTCATTAAGTTTTTCCATTTTTAAGGGCACTCTTAAATGAACAGACTTGGTAATTTAATAATTATGACATAGGACCTTTCTTTACCTGTTCTATTACATATAGCAAATATTGAAATGTTTCATCATAAATTTATTTTTAAATGAACCATCAAGATACCAGATTAAACTACTTTTTCTTTAATATCTTAAAATGGCCTTAGCTACATTTAAATATGGTCTACCAGTTCTCCTCATGTTTTTAATAAAGAAAACTTTATTAAAAGTGTTTTGGGTTTTTTTTTTTGTGGTTTTTTGGAGGGGGTTATTTTGCTGTTTTTGGCCAGGGCTAGGTTTGAACCCGCCACCTCTGGCATATGGGGCCAGAGCCCTACTCCTTTGAGCCACAGGTGCCGCCCTTAAGAGTTTTCTTTATTAATAAAGAAAGGAAACTTATTTAATTGTTTTTAATAAAGGGAGCTTATTCAATTACTGGTCAATATGCGTCTGTTCAAATCTTGGGGCTGTGCATCTAAAATAGACTATTTGATGGAATCATTTCTCAGTGAACTCTGAGAGACTGAATTAGTGCACATATATGGTAGGTGGGCACTTGTTCGATTCTCTATAAGATTTTATTTACATTCACTAATAGAGGAAAGAGAATTAAAGTTATAGGATAGTCTGAAGCTTTCTTAACATATAGTTATTTAAAGATGCATCCACATAGAGCAAATTTCCCATTTATCGACTATCCCAGGGAAAGTGTCATCAATGCCATAATCAGTAATTTGAGACAGAACAAGCACCAGGCTATCAGGACGGAGAAACCAGCGTGTGGACGAGTATCCGCAGAAGGATATATGCAAAGGTGCCGTGAGGTATGAGCTCGCGCACCTGGGGTGCTGCTGAGATAGATTAGATGCATAATAGCAATACATACACCTTCCAGAAGGTTGGCGGGCGCCGTCCTGGAACCCGTCAGATCACGGATGAGGAATTCTGTCCAGTCCGTGTACTTCTCTTTGATTGCTGGCAAGACAATGGAGAAAAACACATTTCAACACAGCAGCAATGATCAAATAAACTGAAAATCAGCAGTTTTCTGTAGGGAGGTATTGTTCCAATATTTTCCTTAATTTTAAGCACTGCACTTAAGTAAACACAGAAATGGAGGCATCACATCTGCCAACAAGTGGTGGCTTCAGAGCAACCACGTGCTGGGCCACATGGTGATTCAAGTATTGGAACTCCTGATGGTCCAGTCTATTCGGAAAAGGCTTACAAATGGCAAAGAAGATATTATCAGTTACGTGATTCAGGAAGTCACGTAGCAAATTCAAGAAGCAGGCCAGGGAGGCCGCAGAACTCACAGAAAAGTATTCCAAGTGGGGGAAATAAAAGCAGGCCCTGAGTTACATAAAAGGTTTTTACAGGTGTGGCGGAAGGAGGGAGTTTCAGACCAAGACATCAGTGTGCGTCGGGAGAAGGGTAGAATGAAGCAGAGAGGAGAGTCAGCCCAGTGAGATTCTGCAGCCCCGAGTTCAACCAACCCAAGATCAAAAACACTTCGGAAAGACAATAGTGTCAGTATTCCACAGGTACAGACTTTTTTCTTAACCTTATTCCCTAAACAATACAGTGTGACAATTACTTACACTGTGCTAGGTGTTCTGAGTTACCTAGCAAAGATTTAAAGAGTATGGGAGGATGTGTGTAAGCTGTATGCTAACACTCTGACATTTTCTACTTGGAACTCGAGTATCTGCAGATGTGGGTTCTCTATTTGCAGGGGTCCCAGGACCAATCATTCACTAACACAGAAGACGGCAGCCCCGTGTTTGGCCAGGCCAAGGCATACTCGGAACACATGGCCCTAGGTAATAAGGCTGAGTGATAGGGATAAACCACGATGTCTGGAAAGTCAACACAGACACTGAATAAACCAGAAATCTCTGCGGCAATAGGATAAAAGTTTGAATGGATAGGGAAACTAAGGCTGCACTCAGCAACTTATCTGAGTACATACACGCTAGGGCCCCAAACAGGAGGCACCGGGCTGGGAACAGGAAGGAATGCCCTTGAGACAGGTTTGAAAACAACACATCCACCCCTGGAGGCCAAGATGCTACAGGAGCTCAGAAACCAAGGCCAGAGAAAAACTTCCCTTCTCGGCATATTTCCCGAGATACAGATCTCCAAAGACCCACCCCCACAGGCCTACGCCTTCCCAGGGTGGGGAGGAATTTGCAAAGTCAGCAAGTGAGAGCAAGACCCTGGCTCCAGAATCCCACCACCAACCCTGCGATGCTGACCTCCAGCACAGGGAGAGGCACAGGCTGGGATTCCCCAGCACTCAGCTGAGCCTTTGATAAAGGATGGTTATTCGGGGTCTTCAAAGGCTAGACACAACCTTTTTAAAGCTTAAACCTAAAAGCACAGGGTTGTTATGAAAGGGAAGCTGGCCTTGATGGGGTGGGGTGGCGCAGATCCTGGCCCCAGTACACATTCTGCCACCCTGGTGCATGACTTTGAGTAATTTACTCCAAATCTTCAGTAAACATCTCAATAATCTCCTCTGCAGGCATGGTGAGGATACTAGGAAACAACCACCTAAGGCAAGTCTTGAGAACACATACAACTGTACCCCAAATATGCATTCCACATTTCATCACAGAAGAATGACCCTGTGCTCAAGAGAAGTGCTCTCTCTCCACAGTGAGAAAAGAAAGTGATTTTACACGTAAGAGTTGTTTCTAACAAGCAGGTTATCCAAGTTAACACGGAAGTCAAAATTCTAAAAATACCTAAGCACCCTATGAAGTCACCACACAGTGTTGAAACTTAACTTGTCAGCGTCACTGCAACAGAGCGCTAGAAGAGGCTCTCAGATTTACACCTGGTGAGCCCTGAGTTCCAGGGGTCCTGTAACTTTCCCTTAACACGCTTCTGCACAAAACTCTGAAGTGATCCTTGTGGGCTGTGGGATATCTAAACAAACTGCTCTCCACAGAAAATGTTTCTAGAAAGAAATAAGCGTGCCCGAACCACTGCAGGTTAAAAAATAGAAAGGAAACCGCTCGCAGGAATTTTGCCAGTTAAAGAAAAAGGTGTTTTGGTCAACACTTCTCAAAGCTCTGAATTTTTAAAATGTACCATAAACCTATTACAATAAACACTGCTACAAAATAAAAGCTAAGCATAACAAATTTACCCTTCCCAGTTTATTTTAACTAATGATCAAAGTTTAAGTTCTGTCCGGTACACGCGGCCCTGAAATTCCTTAGAATTCACTGTGACATACAGAAGCAGGCCAGCACGGTTTTCCATGTGTCCACTTAAACTCTAACCAGAACTTTTAGAACCACATAGTTTTATTCTATAGAACATCTTTTCAAAGACTCAAAATCAGAGATGCGTGAACACAAGAACCAAATCCCTGCCCTGATTACAATGGGGACTTTTTTCTTCAAATGGAAGCACAGACACACATGAAATGTTGGGAAACTCACAACCTGCCCCATCCCGACAACAATATGACAGGGAACTTGCCGGTCGGGGGCGGGGGGAGGGGGGAGGGAATGTTCAGGTTCAGGGGGAGGATCTTTCATCCACAACGCAGAATCTCTGTCCCATGTTTTCAATGGGTAGCCACAAACTCTTAGAAACAAGAAGCTTCAAAGGAGGACCTTTTTACCACCTTCTCGTGGGCACTCTTTCAAGATTCAATTTCAGTTTTGACATTCAATAAACATGCAAGAACATCTTTTTAAAAGTTCAAGTTCCATTCCGCTAACACCCCTCTTTGGGGAGGATTGATCACACACACACACACACACACACACACACACACACACGAGCTTTTTGCGAGGACTTTTAGAGATGGCTCCAAATCCCAGGACAGCTTTTTTAGGATTAGAAAACTATAAAAAGAATCCCAAATACAAGGTAGAAGATGGCTATCATTTTCGTAGAATTTGGGAGAACACTGCTAACACTGCCCTCCGTGCCTGTCAATTCCCCGTGCACACAGGATGAGATGCTGTGTCTCCTCTCTGGGACATGTCCTGCTGAGACTGGTCTGTGGGTACAAAACCAGGCCACAGAAAAGGTGCCCGAGTCCACCCCTACATTCCAGAGTTTAAACACGGAAGATTTTTTTATGTTCAACCTCTTTCTGGATTTTCTGAACTCACTTTCAGTCTGTCCTTCTCTGAATTTATTTTATGAGCCATAGTTTTAGTTTGCCATGGTTCTTTCTGGCTCTTTGGCGGTTCTTTCTTGTAGAATGTTTTTCTTGACAAGATGCCATTTTCAAAACCTCCCATTACGGTCATGAGAGGGGCTTTCTTCTCTGCCATTCCTGGGTCCTCTCTGATTCCTGGGGACCGTTTTGTTGTTTCTTCACCATCATCCTGCCCGCAGGGACTTCTGCCCAGCCCTCCTGGTCCTGCAAACTTAAGTTTAAGATGACAGAAACCCTGTTGGAGGGACGTGTGTGCAGGCAGAGGTGCTGGCCTTGGACAGCAGGCACTTCGTTAGGGGTGTCCCCCCTTCTCTGAGCTAACTTCCAGATTAGCCTCGGGGGTTCTCCCCAGGTGACTCCGCATTTCTTCAGAGATGAGCCAGAGGGAGACACACGTGGTCTCCGGTCCTTGGCTGCCCCAATGTGGGGTGGAGTTGAGTCTGTGAAGTGTTCTGACTACAGGCATCCCTCTAATCCCTGGGATTTCCAGTTCCTTGTGGGACCCCCACCCACCTGCATTCAGGATCCCCAAGGTGAACCCCCTCCACAGCCTGCAAGTGCGTCCAGCCTGCAGCAGCCCCTGTAATCAGTAGCAGTCACTGAGGACACTCAGCTCTCAGGATGAAGAACCACTGGGAACTTCTCCTCCAGGCTGGTCACTTCTTGATTCTCTGTGTCAGCCTGTGGAAGCTGCTTCTCCAGGCTGGTCACCTCTGCATTCTCTGTGTTGCTGACCTACACATATTTTATTTTATTTTATTCACTATCATTTTAATGGGGTCTCTGAGGGGGGAAAAGATAAATAAGACTTTCTAATCTACCGAGGCTCCTCCTAGCTCCCAAGAGAACTGAGCCCTTCCAACATGATGCTGGGCAGCCACCTTGGACTTCGGAGAAAGATGTTATTAACACTGACTTTGCTAAAGAAAGGGGCGGTCACAGGCAATCTGGACTTTAGAGACACTTACTCCCACTATTAAGAAGAAAAAACTACACATTTCCTTCCCTTGAGATTTTTAAAGGTGAACTGACATATATTTTTTGTGTGGAGTTCAAATTAAATTGTCCCTACAAACAAAAGAATAGATCATAAAATGATTCAACAGGATTGACAAGCTCCTACTGTGTGCAATGGGCCACACTATGTGCTGCTGAGGTTCAAACGCATAGGTGAAAGCACTGCTGTCTTTAATAATAAATACAAACCAGGTGAAGATTAACTTGTAAAGAATGTCACCAAAGTCACATACACATCTTCCTTGGTATTTGTCATCTATAGATTGTTGGAGGAAAAGTTTCAATTCAATGTTTCAAAACTCCTTCAGTTACATGTAGTATCATTTGTATCATTGTACACTTGTATCATTTAAAAAAAGAAAGAGTGTTACTTTGTCCCAAAAGATAGGATTTAACAAAGACATTGACTAAGAACTGTTGGAGGCCCATGACCCGGACTCCTCAGAATGATATTAGGGTGTGAGAGAAAAATAAGTGGTATGAAACAGAATAATCTACGTAACTTGAATATTTAATGCCATCATCATTAAAAATGTGGCCAGTTTTGATGCAGGTCCTTAAAAAGAAATGCCTTTGCGACCCAGGAGTCTACACATGGCTCAGGGTATTCCTGAGTGTCCGGGATGAGAACAGGGAAGACGGTTTTTGCTGAGATCACCTTATCACAGGGTCACGCACGACTTTTAATAACAACTACCTCACCGGGCAGGTGTAAGAATTAGACGAGTTATAAACCTCTTAACTCACTCACTCAGGCGGTGCAGCACCA